AAATGGACTTCTAGGTATGAAAGTGAGGAGCAACAGCAATGATGGAGGCACTGTTGCAAAGCTGACTGTGTGCTGAAGATTCTGAGCACCAGCTTTCCCTCTTGGCTCTTCGACTCTGGGAGCAGAGGCCAAACGATCGTGCTCTACTCACTGTGCTGCTGAGCAGCCGAGAGCAAGCTTTGAGGAGGTTAAATTCAAATGCACTTTTAGGTGTGAAACTGAGGAGCGACAACAATGATGGTGACACCGTTGCAAAGCTGACTGTGTGCTGAAGATTCTGAGCACCAGATTTCCGTCCTGGCTCTTCGGCTGTGAGAGCAGAGGCCAGGCGTTCGTGCTCTTATCGCTGTGCTCCTGAGCAGCCAAGATCAAGCTCCGGAGAAGTTGCATTCAAATGCACTTTTTGGTATGAAACCGAGGAGAGACAGCAATGATGGTGACACCGTTGCAAAGCTGACTGTGCGCTGAAAATGCCCAGCACATGCTTTCACTCCTGGCTCTTTGGCTCTGGGGACAGAGGCCAGACGTTCGTGCTCTAATAGCTGCGCCCCTGGGCAGCCGAGAAAAAGATTTGAAGAGGTTGCATTCAAATGGACTTTTAGGTATGAAACCGAGCAGCGACAGCAATGATGGTGACACCGTTGCAAAGCTGACTGTGTGTTGAAGATGCCCAGGACATGCTTTCCCTCCTGGCTCTTCGGCTCTGGGAGCAGAGGCCAGACGTTCGTGCTCTACTCACTGTGCTGCGGGTCAGCCAGGAGCAACCACCAGAGAAGTTGGACTCCAATGGACTTCCAGGTATGAAAGTGACACCGTTGCAAAGCTGACTGTGTGCTGAAGATTCTGAGCACCAGTTTTCCGTCCGGCATCTTTGACTGTGGGAGCAGAGGCCAAACATTCGTGCTCTACTCACTGTGCTGCTGGTGAGTCAAGAGCAACCACCAGAGAAGTTGGATTCAAATGGACTTGTAGGTATGAATGTGAGGAGCGACAGCAATGATGGAGGCACCGTTGCAAAGCTGTCTGTGTGCTGAAGATTCTGAGCGCCAGCTTTCCCTCCTGGCTCTTCGGCTCTGGGAGCAGAGGCCAAACGTTCGTACTCTACTCACTGTGCTGCTGGGCAGCCGAGAGCAAGCTCCGGAGAGGTTGCATTCAAATGACCTTTTAGGTATGAAACCGAGGAGCGACAGCAATGATGGTGACACCATTGCAAAGCTGACTGTGTGCTGAAGATGCCCAGCACATGCTTTCCCTCCAGGCTCTTCGGCTCTGGGAGCGGAAGCCAGACGTTCATGCTCTAATCGCTGTGCTGCTGGTCAGCCAAGAGCAACCACCAGAGAAGCTGGAGTCAAATGGACTTCTAGAAATGAAAGTGAAGAGTGACAGCAATGATGGAGGCACCGTTGCAAAGCTGTCTGAGTGCTGAAGAGTCTGAGCACCAGCTTTCCCTCCTAGCTCTTCAGCTCTTGAAGCAGAGGCCAAACGTTCGTGCTCTGCTCACTGTGCTGCTGGGCAGCCGAGAGCAAGCTCTGGAGAGGTTGCACTCAAATGGACTTTTACGTATGAAACCGAGGAGCGACAGCAATGATGGTGACACCGTCTCAAAGCTGACTGTGTGCTCAAGATGCCCAGCACATGCATTCCCTCCTGGCTCTTCTGCTCTGGGAGCAGAGGCCAGACGTTCGTGCTCTGCTCACTTTGCTGCTGGGCAGCCAAGAGCAACCATCAGAGAAGTTGGATTCAAATGGACTTCTAGGTATGAAAGTGAGGAGCGACAGCAATGATGGAGGCACCGTTGCAAAACTGACTGTATGCTGAAGATGCCCAGCCCATGCTTTCCCTCCTGTCTCTTCGGCTGTGGGAGCAGAGGCCAGACGTTCATGCTCTACTCACTGTGCTACTGGGCAGCCAAGAGCATGCTGCGGAGAGGTTGCTTTCAAATTGTCTTTTTGGTATGAAACCGAGGAGCGACAGCAATGATGGTGACACCGTTGCAAAGTTGACTGTATGCTGAAGATGCCCAGCCCATGCTTTCCCTCCTGGTTCTTCATCTGTGGGAGCAGAGGCCAGACGTTCGTGCTCTACTCACTGTGCTACTGGCAGCCAAGAGCAACCAGCAGAGAAGCTGTATTCAAATGGACTTCTAGGTATGAAAGTGAGGAGCGACAGCAATGATGGAGGCACCGTTGCAAAGCTGACTGTGTGCTGAAGATGCCCAGCACATGCTTTCCCTCCTGGCTCTTCGGCTCTGAGAGCAGAGGCCAGACGTTCGTGCTCTAGTAGCTGCGCTGCTGGGCAGCTGAGAGCAAGCTCTGGAGAGGTTGCATTCAAATGGACTTTTTGGGATGTAATGAGGAGCGACAGCAATGATGGTGACACCGTTGCAATGCTCACTATCTGCTGAAGATTCCAAGCAGCAGCTTTCCCTCCTGGCTCTTCGACTCTGGGAGCAGAGGCCCCACGTTCATGCTCTACTCACTGTGCTGCCGGGTAACCTAGAGCAAGCTCCGGAGAGGTACGATTCAAATGGACTTTTTGGTATCTAAGTGAGGAGCAACAGCAATGATGGTTGCACTATTGCAAAGCTCACTATTTGCTGAAGATTCGAAGCACCAGCTTTCCCTCCTGTCTCTTTGGCTATGGGAGCAGAGGCCAAACGTTCATGCTCTTCTCGCTGTGCTGCTGAGCAGCCGAGAGTTGGCAACAGAGATACTGGATTCAAATGGACTTTTAGGTGTGAAAGCGAGGTTCAACAGCAATGCGGTTAGCACCTTTACAAAGTTCACTGTGATCTAAAGAATCCCAGCACCAGATTTCCCTCATGGCTCTTCGGCTGTGGGATCAGAGGCCAAACTTTCTTGTTCTACTCACTCTGCTGCTGGACAGCAGAGAGCAGGCATTGCAGACGTCAGATTCAAATGGACTTTGAAGTGGGAAAGCGAGGAGCAACAGCAATGATGGTGGCATCACTGTGAAGCTCACAGATTGCGGAAGAGCTTTCTTTTAATTTTTATTCAGGCTTGATATTTTGTTTCATATTTATTCACTTTACTCACATTTAGCTCACTTCTTGATTATGTTTTGCTCACATTTTGCTCACTTTTCTTCAGATTTGAAGTAGTCACTTTTGGTAACTTTTTTTTTTTTTAGTTATCTGATGGTGATCCAGTGCAACTCATTGACACCTCATAGATCCCCATAGACCCCAGAAGATCATCAATAGCCCCCCTGAGCCTCATAGACTTCATATAGACACCCCATAGTGTCCCAGAGCAACCCATAGACACCCCGCAGCAACTCCTGATGAACCTACAGTGACCCATAGACAGCCCATAGCCATTCACAGCACCCCATGGACACCCTACAGACATCCCATAGAGACCCACAGTGACCACCCGACATCCACAGCACCCCATGTACACTCCAAAGTGACTCACAGATGCCCCATAGAGACCCATAGATCCCCACAATGACACACTGCAACCTACAGATACTCCTTAGACACCTTATAGAGAGCCCTGGACACCCTGTAGTGAGCAACTGCTAGATACCTATTGACTGACACTTGGCGCCATGACAACACTTAGAGCCATATAGACACCATGCACTGTCAGATAGCACTACATAGGCCCACTCCTCAATGCCCCATAGTTCCTACAGATGCACAACACGCACCCCATGGCATCTATTGATTTATGGTGTCATGATGTCACTGGGACTGAGATGACATCATCAGCATCCTCAATGGCATGGTGCCCTATAGAGATGCCCAAGAGCCCTGTGAGGGGTCCCCAAGTGCCCCATAGGGCCCCCACTACCCCACTGCACCCCGTAAGTACCACAATACCAATTGATTTTTTTATTGGCTTTCATTCATTTTTATGAACTTTCAGTCACTTTTATTCAAGATTCATTCAGGCTTGCTCACACCTATTCCTTTTATTTGCTTTGTAATAATTTAGAAACACATTATTCTCTTTTGCTTTTTATTGTCTTTATGTCTTTATTGATTTGTTTTTTTATTAATTTTTTTCTTCAGATTTCTTTGCTTTTCAGTTCTTTTTAGTAAAAAAAAATTTTTTAGATGCCCAATAGCGAGCCAGAAAAGCTCACAGAGCCCCACAGGCCCACAGAGGCGCATAGCAATAGATAGAGACTCATAGAGACCCCATAGTGATCACGATGATCATGTTCTGACTGGTCTTAATTTTACCCAAAAAAAAAAAAAAAAAATCATTTTAAGGCAAAAATCTTCATTTTAAGGCAAGAAAACCCGCATTGTACAGCAAAAATAAAAATCATTAAAAGGTTTTAAAAAAGCCTCATTTTAAAGCAGAAAAGGTCTTTGGGGTGGTTTTGGGTGTCCCTAATGTTGTGTCACCCCCCTTAACATCCCCACCTCTGCTCTGCCTCATCCCCAACAGTCCTGGGAAGGTAGGACTGTTCCACAGTGTGAACTCTGCAAGTCCCACCAACTTTAGGGGTGGGGTTTGGGGTGCCCAAGAGCTCCTCAGAAGAAAGAGCAGCTGGAGTGATGCCAGAGAAGGCCGCAGAGATGATCAGGAGCAGCTCTGCTCTGGAGCCAGGCTGAGCTGGGCTGGGTCGGCCTGGGGAAGAGAAGGCTCCTGAAGGGGATATCTCAGAGCAGCTCCCAGTGCCTAAAGGAGCTGCAGGAAACCTGGAGAGGGGCTTTAGGTAAGGAATGGAGGGACAGGACAAGGGGAATGGCTTTAAAGTACTAGAGGCAAGAGTTAGATGGAATACAGGGAAGATGGTCTCCCCAAGGCCACTCCATTGTGGGATTTGATCTCTTGTGGTCGAGCTTTAGGACCCAGAGGGGCACGGTGCAGGGAAGCCAAAGTGAAGCGGCGCCAGACCTGGCTGAAGCAAACGCGGAGACCTGACTGAAACCCCCCTAAAATTAACCCCAATTAGCTCCGCCCCTTTAATTGACCCTAATTAGCTCCGCCTCCTTTGATTAACCCCAAGGGTGAGCCCCGCCCCTTCGAGGCCACGCCCTACAGCCGCCAATAACGTCCGGGGCGGGTCCTGCAGGCCGGAAGTGTGTCGTGCTCGCAAGATGGCAACTCCCTATGTGACTGATGAGACCGGTGAGTGCGGCGCGGCCGGATCCGGCGCTGTGGGGCAGGACGCGGGGTATGGGGCAGGGCCTGGCGCTGTGGGGCACGGCCCGGGGCTGTTGGGCAGGACCCGGCGCTCTGGGGCGGACCCGGCGCTGAGGGACCGGACCGGGAGCTGTGGCATGGGCGGCCCTCCCCCCGCTCCATAGGGCCGCGCCCACCCGCGGTCCCTGTGGGGCATGCCCCGGCCCCTTTGGCAGAGGCTGCCTACACTGTCTGTGGGGCTCTGTCGGCACTCCAGCCCCCCCCACTGCCGCTCGGTATGGGGCACCTCCCCCGTAGTTGTGGGGATGGGTCAGTGCAGCCTCGTGCTCCCTCGACCCGGTCCTCGTGGGGTCCCGTGGGATTCGTGGGGGGCCGCAAAGCCCCCTTGGGTTCCGTAGGGTGTCCCATGGGGTGTGTAGGTTGTCTTGTAGGGTGTCTTTTGCTGTCCATGGGGGGCCCCGCAGACCAGGGGGTTCCTTCGGGGTGTCTCAGGGCCCTTGTGGGTCTGTGGGGTGCCCCATGGTGTCCGTGGGGTGTCCCAGGGCCCTTGTTGGATGCCCCATATCCGGGGCTGACTGTGTGGTACCCCACAGGGAAGTACATTGCCTCGACACAGCGCCCAGACGGGACGTGGCGGAAGCAGCGGCGGGTGAAGGCCGGTTACGTGCCACAGGAGGAGGTGCCGGTGTAAGTGAGGGTGTCCGTGTCCCCGGTGCCACGCGTGGGCCACGTCCCATCCCGTTCCCTCCATCCCCGGTGACATCTTGAGCTCCAAGTCTCTTTCCAGGTGCCCGTGTGATTCCGACCCCCTCACCCCTGTCCCATAACCGTGTCCTGCCCGGTACGTATTGATCCCCCTGTGGGCACGGAGCTTTGGAGAGGCTTCACCGGTGGCATGGGGCTGGCTCCTGGGACCAGGGGTTTGTGGCACCACTGTGGGGGCCACACAGAGCCTTCACAGGCTCTTCCCCCCATGCAGGTACGAAAACAAATATGTCAAGTTCTTCCGGAGCAAACCCGAGCTGCCACCAGGGCTGAACCCAGAGGCAGCAGCAGCACCCGGGAAAGCAGAGCCTGGCGACACGGGACTATCCAAGGCAGCCAAACGGAACTTGAAACGGAAGGAGAAGAGGAAGCAGCAGCAGGAAAAGGGGGAGCGGGACACGGATGAACTGATTCAGGCACTGGAGCGCTCGGCACTGTCGGAGCCGCTGCCCGGCTGTGGCGCTGCCAGCCCCATCATGAGCCCTGGCACCAGCCCCGGTGATGCTCCGGCCTCAGAGAGGAGCCGGAGGCTGAAGAACCTGCGGAAGAAGTTGCGGCAGGTAGAGGAACTGCAGCAGCGCCTGGACGCTGGTGAGGTCCCGAATCCCACCCGCGAGCAGCTTGAGAAGCTGAGCCGGAGGAAAACGCTGGAGGAGGAACTGCGGAGCCTGGAGAGGGACTCATAAGGGGGGGAATCAGGGGGTGTGGGGGGGGTATTGGAATGGTTGTTCCCACTGTTGGGAACGCAGCAGCGCTTGGACGCTTCTCCCTTTATCCCTCTTCTTTTTTATTTCCTGTTTTATTTTATTGGGGGGGTCTCATTGCGTGGCCCCCTCCCTGCCCAGCCCCTCATGTTCCATGTCGTGGCCTTGTCCCGGCCTTGTTTCAAACCCCAGTGACAATAAACCCAGCAGAGCCCCAGCGTCAGCAGCTCCTGGTCCATGGGGTTGTCCTTTGGGAGCCCCATGGCAGGGTAAGACCCCCCAGCATAGGGTTGAGGCTTTGGGGGGAACTGGAGGGGTTGGTCCCATGGCAGTGTTTGGGTAGGTCTTACAAAAATAGAAGTGGGGCTTTGTTTTGAAGGAGTTTTTGGTAGGGGGAGGCAAGTTATGGGGCAGGCAGCACTAGGGAGGGCTGGGGATTTGCCCCATGGGAAGGGTCCCTGAAGCCCTGCCCACACCATGACCAGGATTTGATTAGGGTGGGAAATATAGCACCTCATTTGCGTATTTAAAGGAGAAGGCACGTGGGGGGATCGTCCCCTGCAGGCCCTGCTCAGCCCACCAGGCACAGGCTCACCGGCGGCTGTGTGCCACACGTGGGGGGGCTCAGAGGGAGTCGGGTTCATCTGACTCTCAGTCTCTTTCTGCCGCAGGAGCTGCTGCTGCCAAGAGCTGCAGGGGGCTGTGGGAATGAATCGAGCCTCAGTGGGTCCCCAGCCCAATTCCCATCCCTATCCCATCCACATCCCAGTTCCTTCCCCATCCTGACCTCATCATCGTCAAAATCCCAGCCTTTATCCTCATCCCATCCCAGTCCCTTCCCCATCCTGTTCCCATCCCACTGTCACGTTGCCCGTCCCCTCACAGGCCCCATGGGCAGCATGTGCTCCTTGTGTTCCCCCACTCACTGGTGCTAAGTGCGCAGCCACGGGGAATGATCCTCCACTGGAGCAGCACTGGAGCAGGGCCCAGCCTCCCAGTAGGGCCCAGCCCATCCAGCACCACGCCAGTGCTCACCGCAGCTGCTCACACACAAACAGCACCAGTGCCTCCACAAAGTAATCAGCGCCCACCAGGACAGCGGCGGCTCCCAGTGCCACTGTGGCCACCACAGTCGCCCCCTTGATCCAGCACAGCACCTGGAGCACGCAGAGGAGCATCAGCGCCATGCTCAGCGGCACCCAGGGGCTCGGCAGCAGCACCGGTGCGGCCATGGCCAGTGTGGCTGCGGCCAGCAGCAGCCCCGTGATGAAGAGCCCAACGCTGCGCAGCAGCGCAGTGAGCAGCCCGATGGGCAGCGCGATACCCGCGCTTGCCGCCGGCCCCAGCAGCATCCCCAGCACCCACTGCCCGTAGCACAGCATGAAGTTGACAGCGGCGCTGAACACCAGCCCTGAGAGGAACATGATGGCCCTGAAGCAGTGGTAGCCTGGCACTGGCATAAGACAGTCACTGGTGCTGCCATGCCCGTGCCCTGCACTGTCCCCGTGCCACCCCTCCTGGCTGTGTCCCCCAGAACACCTTTGTCCCCCCTGTGCCCCAGCACAACCCCCTCCATGGGCTTGTGTTTCCCCCCAAGTGAGCCCCAGCTCCACCCCCAGCTCTGCCCCCCGGCACTCCCGAAACAGCCGCACACGAGCCCCAGGAGCACTCCAAGCGCAGGGAACAGTGGGGACCAGTTCTTAGTGGGGCCGCGGCTCCAGGGTGCAGCAGGGCAAGGTAGGGGCCGGGGTCCATGACCTGGGCCTGGGGGGGGAATGGGTGTCTGTGAGCCCCCAGTGACCTCCCCCGGTACTCAGCCCTTCCTCCCCGCACCCACATCTGGCAGCGCCTCCTGGGGAGAACATCTGGGGGAAAGTGCGAGCCCCTGCGGCAGGGGAGGTGGGAGCGCTGGGAACAGGAGCACCGGGAGGGAAACCGGGAGCTCTGGGGGACACCACACCGGGGGCATTGGGACAGCGGGGGGGGGGCCGGACGGGGATCCCCGCTCGGTGCCCACCCTCCCCGGGACTCACCCGCTCGCTGCCGGCCACGGGGGTCGCGGTGGGGCGGGGGCGGGACCGGGACCCCCGAGAGCGGAATGGGCCCCTCCCGCGGTTACGGGGGGGGGGGACACGGTGCTGCCCCTTTAAGGGGCGGGGTTAGGAGTGGGGACGCTCCGGCTCCAGGCCCCGGCTCTGGGAGTGGGCCGTGGCGGAAGGCGGAAGTGCTGCAGGACGCAAACCGGGGGGGGGAGGTGGCGGACCCCCCCCCCCCCCCCCCGCCCGTACCGGCACGGTGAGACCCGGATCTTCCCACAGGTCCTGAAGTGGGGCCCGAGCACCGGCCCTTGGGGGGGGAGTGGCAACGGGGGGTGCTCAGGGCCGGTCGGGGGTCCCGGGGCCGCTCTGTCGGCGCTGACCCCGCTCTGGCCCTTCAGGACATGGCTGTGACTTAAGCCCGTCCGGGGCCAGTGGGGCCGCCGGGATGGAGCAGCCGCGGCATCGGGAAGCGGCGGTGGCGGCTGATGGAGGCGACGGCTCCGGTGGGAGCCTTCAGGAGCAGGGGGTCACCGGTGACCGCCGCGGCTGGGACAGGGCGGGCTGGAACGGGAGCTGCGGGTGGGCAGCGGCTGCCGGCCGGGAGGAGGAGGAGGACGAGGACGGGGACTGCGAGCACGACCTAGTTCCCGAGCGCTGCTGCCGCTGCCGGGGGGAACCGGCCGCTGCCCCGAGTGCCGCGGCCGAGGAGGAGGACGAGGAGGAGGACGACGGGCTCCGGCGTCCCCGGCGGCGGCAGCGGCAGCGCGCGGCGCTCAAGGAGAAGGAGGAGGGGAGCAGGCGGGAGGGGAAGCGGCCGCAGCCGCCGCGGAGGAGGAGCCGCGGGGACGAGGCCGCGGCTGGGTGGCGGGAGCCGCTGCTCCAGGCCCGCAGGTTGGCGGCGGAGGCCAGGGGGCGGCTGCTTTGCTCCTGCTGCCGCCTCAGAGCAGTGGAGCCGGGCTCGGTGCGGGGCTGGGGCCGCGCCGTAGGGCAGCGCGCCTGGAGCGGGTCCTTGCGGGCAGCGCGGTGCCTGCGCACCGCGGCACGGCTCGGCTTCCGCCTGCTCTGGATGCTCCTGGCGCTCCTGCTGCTGCTGCTCATGCTGCTACTGGGTTGCCTGCGGCTCTGCGGCCGCGCCGGCGCCGCCGCGCTCCAGTGCGCAGCTGGTAGCCGGCTCCTGGACGTGGCCGCGCTCCGCAGGACGTGGGGGCTGCTCTGGGTCTGGTTGAGGCCGTGCCGGGGTCCCCCTTGGGCGGGGGCCGCGGGTGAGACGGGGATTGCGGCGCCCGAGGACCGCGGCGAGGAGGTGACCCGGCTGCTGGCCATGGCCGAGGTGCCCGAGGAGGAGCTGAACCCCTTCCACGTGCTGGGCGTGGAGGCGACAGCGTCGGACACCGAGCTGAGGAGGGCCTATCGCCGCCTGGCCGTGCTGGTGAGTGGGACCGGGGTGGGGGTGTCTCTGTGCCCCCACCTGGGGCTGCAGTGTTGAGGTTCCCACTTTCTCCATGCCAGGTTCACCCAGACAAGAACGAGCACCCCCGGGCAGAGGCAGCATTCAAGGTGCTGCAGGCAGCCTGGGACATAGTCAGCAGTCCTGAGCGCCGGAGGGAGTTTGAGATGTGAGCAAAAGGGGATTTTGAAGGGTCTTTCCATATCCTGGCTCTGTGCCGGGGGTCTGAGCCCCGATTCCTCCCTGGTGCAGGAAGTGGATGGCACAGCACGAGCTGCCGCGCTCGGTGGGTGAGTTCCTGCGGCGGCTTCAGGAGGAGCTGCGCGAGGCCATGAACACCATGATGTGCAGCAAGTGCCAGGGAAAGCACCGGTGGGTACTGGGGGAGGTGGGCCTGAAGCCAGGGCCAAGCCCAGCAATGCCTGTCCTCACCCATCCCAACCACAGGCGGTTCGAGATGAACCGGGACCCGCTGAGTGCCCGGTACTGCGCCGAGTGCGGCCGCTTGCACGCAGCCGAGGAGGGTGATCTGTGGGCAGAGTCCAGCCTCCTGGGGCTGAAGATCACCTACTTTGCTATGATGGATGGGAAGATCTACGACATCACAGGTGGGTGTCCCCCTGTATGGTGCCTGTGGTGCTGCCAACCACCCTGGTGTGACCAGTGCCCGCTTGCCTCCTGCAGAGTGGGCAGGGTGCCAGCGTGTGGGCATCTCCCCAGACACCCACCGCGTTCCTTATCACCTCTCCTTTGGACCACGGGGCACTGGGCGCCACAGGTCAGTGTCCTGCACCCCCGGGTGAGGGGGCGCCAGCCTCGCCTGCGGCACCCCTAAACCCCACTTCCCCCCCCCCACTGCAGGAGTGCACCCAAGGGCAGCACCCCCTCGGCTGATGACCTGCAGGACTTCTTCACCCACATCTTTCAGAGCAGCTCAGGGCCGGGGGGACCCTTCCCGCCACCCTCCACCCCCCCGGCAGCTGCAGCCCCTCCTGGGGTTACCCCCAAGGCCAAGGGGGCTGCACCCAAGGGGGACATGAGGCACAAGAGGCGGAAGAAGCTGCGTCGGCCGCTGCAGCGCTGAGGGTGGCTCTGGGCCAGGCACTCCAAGGGCTCTTTCCAATAAGCAAAGCTCTATTTTTCCTTTTTAGAATTCCTTTTAAATACTCTAGGGCTTCCCAAGA